TTTAGTTGGCTTATACTTCCACATCCCAGCCCATCACTGAGGAAAGTCAGGGAGGAAAGACAAGGCAGGATCCTGAAAATAGGAACTGAATCAGAAGCCACGGAGGAGTGCTGCCTACTGGCTTGTTCCCCGTGGCTTGCTCAGTCTGTTTCCTTACAGCACCCAGGACCACCAGCCCAGGGATGGCACTGCCTACATCTATCACTAGTCAAGAAAATGGCCCCACAGACTTGTCTATGGGTCAGTCTTGTAGAGGGATTTTCTCAAATAAGATTCCCTCTTCCCAGATGACCCTAGCTTGTGTCAAGTTGACAAAAAGCCAACCAGCCCAGCTGATTTAAGTCAAGAGTTTTGCTATGCAGTCTAGACTGCTCTCAGCCCCACAATTCCTCTGTCTGCTACCTCCCTCTTTCTGCAATTATAGGTATCCTCCTGCCTTAGTGATGTTTTGTGATGCTCTTGCTTTGGTACCAGCAAGGCTGCTAATCTTTCTCCACAAAGGACAGATTGTCACTATAATTTCATGGGCTCTGTGTCCCTTTCACAGCTATTCAGTCCCGCCATTGTAGAGTGAAAGCCACTCTGGACAACAAGTGGACGAATGGGCATCTTGACGCTCCAGTACATAGTGACTAGAGACAGGAGCAGTGCCTGGAAGTGGCTCACATGCTGACGCCTGCGCTATTGCTCTCACCAGAGGGGGAAGGAGTTCTTGACAACCACTATTTTTTTTTCAGGACAGAGGTTTCTTGACAGCTTGACAGGACCATGATTTCTCCCTCCTCCCAGAAGCTGAACTGATACCTAACCAAAACTTGAGACCATTCCCTGTTCCGAACACCCTCATATTCAGCCCCTGGAGAAGGTGTAATGCTAACTCGTCTTTATTTCAAATCACTTGCTATTTCTAAATTTCAAACAACTTGCTCTGTGCAGTTGTGGTCTCTGCTCTTCCAGTCAAGGAAACCCAGGCCTTCTCCCAGAGCAAATCCCCCGAGGATGCTGCTATGGGCTTTGCTGCTTGCTGCATGAGCACACCACACTAGAGCCATTCAGCTACATAAGGGAGACTCAGACCAAGCGCTTTTGTTTCCAAAACAAACTGATATCTGTTCTTAAGACTGAAGAAAAACCAAGCATTCACCGGGATGATATGAGAATATGGATGACATCCAGCCACCAGCAATCTGTGAATAGAGGAGCCCGGCCCACGTCTCTTTAGCCTGGGATCCGCCTCATCCAGCCACTCAAGTCTAGACTAGAAAACTGATCTTGTAAGGAACATAGAGCATTTGTAACAAAATGGGGTCCACTGAAGTCGTCCCTTCTGAGCAGCAAAAAGTCACACCAATCATGAGGCGTCCTAAGAGTGACAATAAGAAACCCAGGGCGCAGCACCGATGGCTTTCTCTTTGGATAAAGCAGCTCACTTCGAGCTAACACTGCCTTGTCACAAGTAGGGGAAAGAGCACGGATGCAAACAACGTCATCAAAACCCAGAGACTGTGACGGACATCTTGTCTGCCAGCAAGACCAAATGAGCATCTTAAGGAGCATCTATAACAGCCTCTGCCCCAAAACCTGTCAAGCACATAGCCCTGCCAGCCACATCTGCAAGGCAGGCAGCCAGAGGAAGTCTGTGAGAAAGCCAGCCAGCTTTTGGCAGAGGAGGAGAGAACACACATCTAAAATAAACATTTCTTTAAGACTTGTCTACTTACTAATCTCTAAGGTCCAGAGTCTGCCCGCTTGAGGTATGCACATGAGAGGTACTTCCTGCCCAAGTTCAAATGCACCAGCAGACACTAAGGTATTCTACGGTCTTCAGTCAAATGTTTGAAAAGCCAGGATTAAGATTTTCTATTTTAGGAAAGACTTTATGTCCTTGTGATCTTAAATTTTAAAAACCCTTTAGAATGTTACATTAGCAGTAAGTCTTTGTGGGGGCAGAATGTAACTCAAGAAGTATAATGATAAGAAGATGGCTCAGTTAGTAAGGTCTTTGCCATGCAAGTATAAGAAGCTGAGATAGGATCTCCAGGTTCATATTTTAGAAAAAAAAAAAGCTGGGCATGGGGATGCATATCTGGAATGCCAGACCAGTAAGGCAGATATGGGTGGATCTCTGTAGCACTTTATTCAACCAGCCTAGCCCAATCACTGAGCTCCAGGTAAAAGGATAAGGCAGAGAGTAACCAAGTAGGATATTGCGTGTCAGTCTTTAGACTCCACATATGCAACACACACACACATGTGCACATGTACACATGATTATATACACCCATGTGTACGTACACACGCAATACATACATTTACAAGAAACAGCACAACACCAACGAGAGAGGACTTGAGTAAACCTACCTACAATGAAATGGATGGAGAACCTATAGGAGCTGACCTCCACCTTAAATACTATTCCAGATCCCTTGAAACATTACAGCTTTGGAACCCTTGACAGTAAGGGCATAATAATCGAATATAATAGGAACCCCTCCAACTGACACCTGACCACAAAACATACATTCACATGGACTGTGACCTGAGAATAGCAAGGTTGGAAGGAAGTACTCTCTCGTTCTGACCCAAGCCCAGAGCAACCTTGGGCTACACGTTCTTCTACCCCCACGTCCTGGCATAGGCACTTCAGTGGCCTCACAAAGCAGTGTATGGTGGCTCTGAAGCCCACTCTTGTGCTAATGCATTGGATCTGGCTGTGCATAAACATCCTAAGCTGCTGAAACAGCTGTCACAAATACGGTAACAGAACATACACTCATTCCCGAATAGCTCTGAAGACCAGAATTCCTAAACTGAAAATGCAGACATCAGCAGGGCCACACTTCTTCTAGGCTCTACAGAAGAACAAGTCTGTCAGCATCTCCCAGCTCTAGTGGATCCAGGTGTTCCCTGTCTGTGCTGCATCACTGCATCCTGCGGTGTCTTCACTTAGTCTTCTCCCCACATCTGTCTTCAACATCCTCTGCCTGTCTCCCATAAGAACATCTACTGGGGCGGGAGAGATGGCTCAGGGGTTAGGAGCACTGGCTGCTCTTCCCGAGGACCCAGGTTCTATTCCCAGCACCCACATGGCAGCTCACAACTATCTGTAACTCCAGTTTCAGAAGATGTGATACATTCAGACCAATGTATATAAAAATAAAGTTAAATAAATTCTTTTTTTAAAAAAGAACATCTATCATTGGTTTGGGGGATATCCTAAATCCAAGAGTTTACCTAAATATCCTTAACTTGTGGGTTTTTACTTCCTTTGATAATTAAAGACTAAGATTTCTTTAAAGCAAAAAGCATGCATGGAGAATGGTCAGAGTAGTCCAGTTATTTAACACATCCATTTTCTTATGTAGTCGGGGTGTGTGTGTGTGTGTGTGTGTGTGTGTGTGTGTGTGTATGTTGAGAACTCCTGAAGTAAGTCCCTTGGCAAATTTCTAATATTTATTACAGTATTATTAACTACAACCCTTTAAAAAAGTCATGTTTGTAAGTTTTAGGACTGACCCTGGGTTTACTTAGAGGAAGAGGGACGGTATTCAACTTACCATAATCTTCTTAGCTGTGGAGAAGGAAAGGAGGCATTAACTAACACAGCATATGAACACTGCATTGCAGGAAATCTTCCAAAGGCTGAAAACACCACCATGCCTGAGGCCGCCTTCCTCAGATGAGCGGTGACCCTGTCTGAGCCTCATTGTTTTGTGTCTAAGAAGAGACCAGCCCTAACCTGGAAGGTTGCAGTGCTGCAACAGGGCTGGCAATGATCCCTTAGCATGTCTGTCACTCCCATAGCTCAATGACAGACCCTAGTTTACAGTCTCTCTGGGGAAAATGTTCAAACAGAGAGGCCTTCCGATGTTTGTCAATTCAGCCACTAACTGGTACGGTGTACCTTTAGCACAGGATTTGGGGAAAATCCCATTAAGATAAGAGGCTTGCCAAAAGTAAATAATGGTTAGACCCGCGGCGAACCAAGGACTTCACAGTCTGACAGGAGCCTTTCCCATTCCAGGCAGTCACCTGCAGCCTTAGTCTGTCTCCAATAGCCCAACATCTACAACATCACAGACAGCCTGCTACACCTGTGGACTTCCAGGGCTAGATTTGGTCTTATCTGGCTTTGGATTCCCAGCACCAATGCCTGGTGCCTGAGCATTCGATAAACACCACTTGGTGACTGGAAACACCAGCCCTGGTCATAAATGACAACCGGGAGAGCGACGGTGATAAACCCAGCCTCCAAATGCCTTATACTTGGGGGACCAAATAAAACAGTGGACCTCCACCTTCTGGTTTGGGAGCTGCTCCAGAAATGTTCGTAAGCATCATCTCTGACTTTAGTCCTCACTCCTACTGAGAACGGAGGGATTCTGATCTCCATTAAACCCAGTGGGACCCGAGGCTCAGAAAGGTGACTTTAAATTGCTAAGACCTGGCAGAGCAAGGGTGTGTCAGAATTCAGAGATCTGTGGCTTTCCTGCCCTGCCATGCTGCTGCTGGTTCAGACTAGTCTGTGTGTCAGGCTGATCCAGGCTCCAGTGCCTACAGTGAAACTATATATTGAGGTGCATGTGAGCATACACATTTTCATAGGCACGTGTGTATGCATATGCATACATGTTATATATTTGTTCACACACATACACAATACATTCATTTGAAAAAATACTAGACACAATGCCGAATTGAACAGAAGTGTCAAGGAGCTGGGCAAGTTCCCTTTGCACTGTCAAACCATCCAGGGGTGAAATGTCACGTGCCACATTCTTCCAAGCTCACAGAAGCAACGTATGCAACACTAGGTAAAGCCCAAAGGCTTGACCGCCAGCTCCCATGACCGCCCTTGGAATGTTATTTTTCTCAGCCATCCACCCCACCGTGAAGAAAACTGCATGGTGCTGACATTCAGGTGCCAAAATCATTCTCTTCATTTAAACACCCCCCAAAAACTGAGCAGGAGAACAAAAGCACCCGCGCCTTGGACTTACAGGAGGAGTGGATGCTGGGGAAGCTTTTGCGGCCCTCGGACACCAGGTCAGGGTCCCCCGTGCAGTGCATCTCTGAGTTCATCACCCCATCTGGAAAGCAGCGGTAAAAGAAATCGGGGCGAGGTCTACAAAAGACACCATGGACATTTTCAATATACAGCGCTGCCATCACAACAAACCCCAAACTGATCCCTCCCCGTCCCCAAACAGCCCCCGCCCCTCTGCAAGGCCTCTCTGTCATCAACAAGGGGAGTTTCCCCAGAATCCTGGGAATACAGTTACTGGGGCATTCTCAGGCTTTGGGGTCAGAATGATTGGAACTGGAGCTAGCTTTGCGGCCAGAGGGAGGTTTCAGCCTTCCCCACTCTCATTTCTATGTCTATAAAGGGAAATCAGTACCCCATCAAAGCTGAGGTCTTGAGCATTAAGTCGTGGGACTTCCTGAGGTACCTAAGCATGGTGTCAGCAAGGTGGAAAGAACGTCCTATCTTGATCTATTGTTCCACCAAGCTAGACCCTGCCCCCTCCCCGTTTCTGAGAGTCCAGGACATGACACCCCTACATGCCAAGTTCTGGTGGCCAGTTGCCTCAATCTGTGGCCCTCAGCCTGGCTGGGAAACTTGGCGACTCAGCTACACAGTATGAGGAGTTCAGTAACCTAGGCTGGTGTCTCTGGCCTAAACCGGAAGTGGGACAGAGATCTCTGGAGGAAAGAAGGGTGGCTCTGGCCCTGAAGCCAAACCATTCAAGGGCAACCACAGCTAATATTAACTTATTCTTGAGTGTAGGTGCAGGGCCAGGCACTGCACGTTCACCAAGTCATATAACGCCTATGCCAATCCTTGAGGCAGGGTCAGGGGTCTGAAGGAGATAACACTCCTGCCAAGGTCACTCGTGGCAAACACAAGCTGCAGAATTGAATCCTGTGCCTAACATTTGACCACATGTTTGAATGCCCTACTCAAGTAAGGATTCCAGTGTGGAGGTGTGCTAGCCCACTACTCTGTAGTAAGTCAGCCAATATCACTGTATGGATAACACGGGTGAGGCCTGCTAAAGCTGTAAGCACACTTCCCTTTTACCGTGCACACTGGGTCACTCCTGTCACAGACAGATACATGCGCTGAACCTCCTAGCTCTGGAATCTATCAGACCCACTTTGGTGTTGTATTTCTCGGACCCAGCCAGTGTTTCTCCAAGGCAATGGTTGTCCACCTACTTAACCAGAACCCCAGGGGGTAAGCCCCTAGAATCAGCACCTTATCTGGACCCCAAGTACATGCTAAGCATGGAGGGATCCAGAAGGGCATTCCAGTATAGGGTCTTTTATTAACCTAGGTTTGCCCACCTTCCACTCCTTGATGCCTAGCCTAGCACCCTGCTGCTGAGGTTGTAATGGAATCTCGTTTGTTTAAGGCCAGGAGCTAGACGCTGTAGTATTGAGAGGCCTTCGGGCTTCTCATCTCCCCAGAGACTGACTCTCTACCAGGGCAGCCAGAGAGAAGGGAGAGGGAATGGAAGCTAGACATCATTTCTCAGGAGCAGTAAGAGAAGGGTGGCGGGAAGGCAGATCTGAAATGCCAGCCCATACATCTCGCCCCAAAGGAAACTGCAAAATAGAAGTGATCTTATTAATTTGCTAAAGGCCAAAACTGACAAGTGCAGAAGCCTGGCCTGGTGCTGGGAAAGCAATGGATGGCTCTGGAAATGCCAATTGCAGGCTTCGGCCAGAAGAAAGTGTGGTCAGCCAGCCAGTGGACACTCTCATGCTAGTGAACTCCTCCCTAAAAGAGTGAGCTCATAATTCAAAGGAAAGAAAAGCTGTACTGAAGGTCAGAAATCCCAGGAGGGCAATAATTTAAGGGAAAATCAGACACCCTGGAATCTGTTCTACCCAGTGTCATGGATCCCATGCAGACGAACTTGGTAGTATAAGTCATCATTTGTTTCTTCTTGGAACTTACCTTCCCACTATTAATTTAATAGTGTTTGTGCAGACTCCATTCAAAGCAAGAGCCAAGGACACCGCTACAAAACAAAACCAACACAGAGAGAAAAAAAGTTAGATCTCGCATTTAAAGAAAAAAGTCATCATCGCTATAATCACCACCGCCATCATCACCATCATTAGCACCACTATCATCAACATAGCATCATCATCACTACCATCACCATCATCAGCATCACCACTACTATTGTCACCCATCACCACTGTGACCACCACTATCACTATGACCATCGGCCATCACTCTCATTATTATTATTGTTGTCATCACCTACAATTACACTTAGTTTATGACCACAGAGTTGTTAAATAATAACTTTAGAAACATAGTGAAGCTTTGTTGTTAGGGCAAAATATAACTGGGGAAGGACTATGGAGGTTGTCCCATAAAATGACACATTCCTATAATACGAAATCTTTCCTTCTTGACCAGAATTTTCAGCCTCCCAAACAAACCATCACTTTCTAGCCTGATACAAACAGATTTAATACAACGGCGTGTAGAGTTTCTTTTACTAGTAGCGAGACACATAACTTTTTTTTTTATTTCCTCCTGGCAATTTCCTCAGACATAATTCGAATCAGAGCCGCTGCCAGAATCCTTCTGACGAGCAGGACAGCCTCGCCAGGCCTCTGTCATTCCTGACCCGTCACCTACCCACAGCTGTCCATCACTGTTCCCAAGAGGGCAGAGAGTCCAGGAGGTAACTTTTGCCATCTAAACCAGCAAGAACTCCGAGAATACATTATTTTAAAATATACACCCCAGGGACCTTCTCCAAGCAGCCTGGAAACCTGCTAAGATGAGGGGCAGACTAAACACAAGGGGCAGCAACATGAATCAATATCCCTTCCTATAAAAACCTTGACCTTCTCCCCTACAGTTTGTTAAGAGGACTTAAGAGGCAGAGCCGTCACGGTCAGTGTGATGAAGGCCAGATGTCTTACAAAAGCAACAGAAACTGAGGGAGGCCCTCTTCTGCTTTATTGAGTAATAAAAACACATGAGCTACCGTTTCTCTTTGGCAAATATCAGCTCCTTGATACCAGCAGAGACTTATGTAAGATGGGTGTAGCGGAGGGGTATTTTTCAGGAAGGCCTTGTTCTGAGTGATCCATTCTCATCAAAGGAGACAGAGGAGTCAGTCTACAAGCAGAAGGTGCTGTGCCCTAGCCATCACAGCCACCAGCACACGTGCTTTTAGCCAGATGTGTTGAGATGAAAAGGAAAAACTAAACACCTGAGTGGAGATGGAGCATTCCTGGCTGTGTATGAATGGAGTGGGGGAAAGGCACAGGTCCCTGTTGGAGAGCCGAGCATGAGTCAGTACCACAGTACTGCCATCAGAATGTCACATGTCACATGTGCGAGCCTGGCAAGCCTGGCTCTAAGTCTGGAGCATGTGTGAAGATCAAGTGACTACAGTCTCTACAAACAGATCTTTCCTGCCAGGAAGGCCAGCTCCCCTCTCTTCCACAAGCTCAGGGCAGAAGTGAGAGGCCTCTTTTGTAGAAGAGAGAAAATCCCCTACACTGACTTGGCTGAGTTCTCCCAGAGAGTCCTGACCACATACAACTGTGAGACAGCACAGAAATGACAGTGGTGAACTTTCCCGTTAGTGTTGGCCCTGCTGTGCTTTCTAGGGGATTTCTGCTCTTTCTCATCCTAGGAGTACGGCCTCAGTGAGGGTCAGCCATCTGCAAGCAAGCATTACTGGCTGATCTTTCACTGTCCCGCATAACTCTCAGTGAATTCATATACAGCTCCACTGCTCCAGAGCCCAACATACCCCACACTCGAGGCTGAGTGGGCTTGTACAGTCTCTGCAAAGGTTTGAAGTAAGTGAGCTGGAAAACGCCAGCAGACGCGCTGAATGATTCACACGCCTGAAAGAGACGGAGACGGATGGGAAGCTGGAGGGACGACATTCGGGAGAGCGCGAGTTGCTTCAGCATCCCGGAAGTACATGGACTGATTTTTATCTGAATGATGTGGTTTGACAGGGTACTGAGGAGAGGGCATCCAAATGACAGGGTACTGATGCAGGGACCTTTGTGAGGTATCTATCCCAATAGTCCTCATTCTCTAGATTGAAGGCAGGGCTCTGATCAGATGCTTGGTGGCTGGGAAGGCAGGAGAATGCATGGCCCCAGAAAGAGCTCTTGCTGACAACAAGAGCCCCACAGGTCTAACTCATGCGGTGTTTTTACAGCATCTGGGAGCACCATTTTGACTGGTGGATCAGAAACACAAACAAGACTGGCTGATGAAGAAATTCAAAGTGGCATTTCCTACGAGTTGGCTCGCTAGGGGCTGGTTTTGAAGGCATTGAGGGCTTGCCAGTGGAGTTGAGAGCTTTTGCTGCTATCATTTATGTAGTTTTAGGCAGTCCAGTACTCCAATCTTTCCATACCAGAGTTCCTGGCTAGTCTGTAGCCTGAATACCTACAAGCTAGATGCTGTACAGCAAAAACACTGCCATTCTTGTCTGTATGTAGCAGAGGGGAACTCTTGGGGCTCGGGTGTAAGTGCCTGGGTTAAAAATCTTCTAAATACCCTCAATACAGGATGACATGACAACGGTGCTCCCGTCCCTGAGAGAGTTCTGAATTCCAGGCTTGATTAGAAACCACCTCGTTTTCTGACATCGATGTTTAAGGTCGCCCTCCTGCCTCCAAATTTTCCTTAAAATGTGGGTTGTTTGCAACCTCTGTGCACACTGCTGGCTTTCCGTCACTTTCTGGACAGGAACTCATTGATTTCGGCAAACAGAACAGTCAATAATTCCTTTTTAGTTACCGCATAGGAGGCAGAGTATGGGGCTCAGTTTTGAAGTGTCACCCTAAGGGAGATTTAGCCAGGACTGAAAATGTCTAGAGGAGGTAGCCAGGGCTGCTCAGAGACGTCACAGGAACCGAGTTCCATAGCCAGCAGTAAATTATAGCCACAACTATAACAGCCGTTCTTACCCACTGTCATTTATCTTGGGACTCTAAGTAAGGGATCAACTACAATATAAAGTGAGGTAAGGGGTTCCCAAACCAACAGAGAGGGTGCCCAAGAGGATGCTCTCAGGACCACAGTAATAACCATCCAAATACTTCCCTGCCACTAGAGCCAGGTATTGGTAAGGTGCCCATGACCCACGCCATGAAAATGTTTAAAACTTTCTGTCCAAAGAGACCACAGTCATGTGACCAAACTCTCAAGTCTACAGGTTAGCAGCCCAGGGCACATGCCTGACCTGACAGAGTGAGCGTGTAACGACAAGCTGGCCAGAGTCACGATTACTTTGCTTTTAGCCTGGAGAAACAACTGAGTCAAAGTCTCCATCTGGGAGACTGGGACCAAGAAACCATGAACGTAGTGGTGGCCACCAGGGTAGAGCAGTCCGATGTGGAGGGAGAAAGCAGCACCTGTGAGCCCAGGCCTCACAGGAAGCAAAGATCTGGGGCAGAAGGAACCAAGTCCCAGCAGCAGAGGTGACAGGAAATGGAGGGAGGTGAGGAAGGGCATGTTTCAGGCAGAGTTGGTCATGAGCGCTTGACATCCTAGCTCTCTTCCTGCTGCATTCCCAGGGGGCACTGCTGTGCTATCTCCTCCTTCTCTTAGAGTTGATAAAATTACTTATTTTAGCTCTGTCTTTAAACCCATTATTTACTTGAGCTAATTTGAAAGGGAAACTTAACATTATTTTTTTCAACCAGACAGACTTAACTAAAGCTTGGTTATGTAAAAATGGTCTCTATTCTTCGTCCTTGAGACACACACTCTGCCTCATTCACGTTCCCTCTCTGAGAAAGAGAGGAGTGTCATGCACGCTTTCATCTCTATAAGCCCAGTAATTAACAAACATGTCCCTTAGAGAGGAACCTCGGTTTCCAGTCTTACCACCCCAGAGGATGGTAAGTGCGCAGAATATACTAAACTCATAAAAATCTAGATAACTTATTTAAAGTATATACATATCCAATTTAGTTTTCCAGAAGATTAAAAAGCTAGAGGTTTAGACACAGGTTATATTACCTTGGTTGCTAAAACATCCCAGTAGGAGGATTTACTTTTACTGGTCTCTCTCTCTCTCTCTCTCTCTCTCTCTCTCTCTCTCTCTCTCTCT